CAGTTAGGGCAGAAGTGGAATTTAAATAAAAATTAGTTTGGTCAATGTGAACCTCAACTTATTTAATATGTATGTATCAGTAATGCACAGTATTTTAAGATAGTCTTCAAAAAGACACTGACTAGTGTATGGTCAGTAGAGATTTGCAGTTGAAAGAACCACTTGAATGTGGCATATAGAGTTTACATGTATAATTTTCAAAGGATAGATATACCTGTATGTAAAGTTTATCAAAATATACTGCTTAATAAGAAAGGATCTACCAAATGCAAAGATATATCCAGTGCTCCTCTGACATCCATCCCATGCTTAAATAATAAGGTCTGGCAGTGTGTTTCCTTGAAAAGTTCTCTCTACCAACCATGCTTCTAGAAACCCTTTTTTTTGAGGTTGTGCTGAAATCTGTGTCTTTATACTTTTACTGGCTAAACAAATATAGTTCTAAAAAACTGTGTTGTTTATCTGAAGTTCATTTTTAACTGGATATTCTATATTTTTATTTGCTAAATCTGCAACCATATTTTCCTACCCATTGTCTGAAGGACACTTGAGAGCAACAGAATGCAAATCCACTTTTCCTTCCTTATGCTATTGATTCATTCATTTATTCATCTACTCACTCATCTGCCACCTAATGACCAAAGTCTGTATCAGTTCCTAAATGTAGAAATGGATCTTAAAATCTCTTTTCCTGAAAAGTGAGCAAGTCAAATAAACAGTTATTGGCCAATATGACTGATGCTATGAGGCAGAGTTTTACAGAAGATGCACAAAGGGACCCTTGACCCTCATGGGTGAGAGTGGATGTCAAGAAAATCTTCAAAGAGGAAAAAAAACCCTCTAAATAGAGTGGCTGTTGCTGATGTAGACAACCATGTTAGGATCCACCACAAAAGGCAAGCTGGAACTGCAAAGAGGATAATAATAGTTTGCACGGGAATTGAAATAAATGAAAGTGACATGCAAATGTTTGAAGGCTTCTCCCATCCATGTTTTCTTTTCCAGACTAATTAGTGTTTAATTTCTTTTATTATTTATTACATCATTTCCAGTTTCTTCACTTCTTCTAAAAGTACTCTCATTTGTCTAAAGGGCAGTTTTTAAACTGGATGAAATATCTCATGAAATCTTCAGTGCCTTTAGATATAGCATTGAAAATAGTGCTATTAAAGCTAGTTTCTTAAAACCTAACCGGGCAATGCTATTGAGCTAAAGTAGTAAGACCAATACCACCAAGGCCAAACAGCTCACTACCTTTTGTTTTTTTTTACTCTAGAGATTTTGCTCTCATAATTTACTTTTGTTTATGGTTGGATTTTAAGAGCATAAACTATAATTAGTGGGATAAAAACTCCTTTCTCTTTGATTGAATACCATGTAAATTATGGCCAGTTTTGAGATGAAACTCTCAAGGTCATTCTGTAGGGGCAAGATTAAGCAGACATTTAGCAGCATGCGTTTATTGATTGACTGAATTTCTCAAACCCAGCAGACATCAACCATCTGGAGTGCAGAGGCGAACTTTATGAATTTGTTTGAGTTAGCTGTGTTTCTCTCATGATGGAGCACAAAGTCATAAAGAAATAGTTGGTGGTAGATATTAAGAAAGGGAGTTGGGGTGAGCAAATCCAGTATACAGTGACAGGCAGCTTGCAAATAGCTCAGTAGTGGCTGGAAATTTGTGATAGCATTAGTCATATACCATTAACTTCATCCTTTTTCACACTGAGAAGTAAAGGAAGGTAGAGTCATTGAATCCAGGGGTTTACAGTAAACTCTAAATGACCACCAGCTCTGGCTGTTTAATACATCATATGTGTTGGCAATATGTGTCTCAGAAAAAGCAAGGTCAGATAAGACTGGTAAAGATCTCATGTGTATATATTAGGGTATTTCTTCTTCTTACTTATCACATAATAATCACATTTTTAATAATATGAAAAAAAGAAAAAAAAACCCAAAGCCTCTCACACAAAGCAATTCCTCTAGCTCTTACATTTTATGCCACTTAATTGTGGCTAATTTTGTTACCAGTAGCTCATGTAATTTGATGTTATAAGCAGGGCATTGTCTACCTCTTGGATTCACGTATCAGGTGCGCCAATTTGAGCACGTGAATATGGCCTTGGGCAGGTGGCCTAACCTCTTTGGGCTCTGTTTACCTATAATATAAACATAACAATGTGAACCTCATTGAACTGCTGTACATTTGACTATGTGGTAAAGCAGCTAACACTCCTCCTGTTACATGGTAGATGTTTTGATGACTGTAAGCATTATTATACAGTAACATGCTTGTTATTTCACTTTCTCAGTATGTTGTCTTTTCTCCTTATCAGGTTTGAGACTTCTAGAGAGAAGACAGGACTACAGTAGTTCTATCTCACAGATGTTCAATGAACTCTTATCTGCTGACTTGTTTGAACGTTGCATTGCTAACTAACAGATATAGCAAGTATTTATTTATTTGTTCCCCACTTGAGAAGTGAGACTCAGTGAGTTTTCACTGACATGGCAGCTCCTCCATGTCCTACTGTAAGGAGCCCAAGCTACCGGGCTTCTTTGTATTTATTTTTCTAGGTTCTGGAGATTTTTCTATTCTTCTCCCCGTTCGTACTGCCATCTGGTGACAGGGATCTACTTCCTATTCCATTCTTACCAATCTTGTTTCCTAGGAGATTTCTTCCCAGATGGAATGGGACAGGTCTTCCTGTGGGCTTGTCCTAGAGTTATGATTCTTGCTTATTTTCCTTGCTTCACTTTTTTACCAGAGGTGTTCAACATTCCTCCTGCACATGCAAACTGTCTCACATTGGTTAGGCTCCATCCTTGCCTTCCAGTATTTGGAGGAGTCATCTCAGTGTCACCAAAATGGACATGAACTGGGAGATAAAAGAATCTATCAGAGCTCATATATATCCTTATTTTTTAAAGAAAACTTAAGAAACAAAGTAAATCTTACTGTAGGGTGTAGCCCACACTTGTTCACTTGGTTTCAGTATCTTACATGTATCAGTTTAAGATGCCCTGTTAGGTGGACTTACAGATACATAAAATCACCAAGTGACTTCAGAGAGTTCATAAAAATGGACCTAACATTAAGGGTAATACTGTCCTTAATAATAATAATGCAAAAACATACAAATACAATGAAAAGGACAGATTTCACACTCCTCTTCCTAGCAACATTTTTCATTAGCCACATTATAACCTAAATATATTAATAATGTAATTAATTTCAAAGTAACTGCTCAAAATACAATAAATTGCTGTGAGATATAGATTTACATCCACTATCACTTTACATGATCCTTAACACATATTTTGTGTATACATCTGTTGTATGTTTTTGCTTGTATTTCTGATTTGACAGTCATTAAGATTAAGTATAGAGATAATCTGAATTGAGAATTATGCCTTTAAATGCCTGCATCACAATGCTAAACAAGTAATTTTTAATATTCTGAATATTGTATTTGTCAGACTAATATTAATTAATAAAATAAAAATAAATACATATATAGCATATCATCAATTAACATGAACTGTATCTAAAATATTATTTCAGTAGTACTGTTAGGTAGAAAGACATGAGTAGCTGGGGAAGAGGAAGATAAAGATCAAGGAAAAGAAAAAAACCTGCCCAAACTCTGCCCATGTAGGGGGGTCCCATGTGAAGACAACAAAGGCTGTGCAGGGAGAAATTTCTTGACTATCAGGACCAGGCCAAACTGGTCCTAACCAGGTCCCAACACTGGCACAATGGAGCAAAACTAAACTACCCAAACCACTCCTCATCATAATCTCATTAAAATAAAATAGTGGTTTTTGCTACCTGCCCCCCACCATGGACTTTTCTGTGTGCATTTTGGGAAAAGACATGCCCACCAAGAGGAATGGGTGTATAACTGGAGCTGTCAATCAAACGACCTCACCTTGTCAGTCAAAGGCACTCCTTCCCTAAGAGTTCAGGGTCTTTTTCTACCTTGAATCTGGCCCTCTCCTCCCTTGGACTTTATTCAAATAAAACTTTTGCTCTGCTTTGCTATTGTGTCTCTGCCTTTCAATACTTTGTTGCAGCAGGGACAAGAACCTAGGAGAACTCAACCCATAATAGATTATAGTAATTTTATGATCACTTTCATCAAACTGTTATGAAATACATCTAGAGAAAATAGAACGAATAGTAAGATTCTTAGCATAACTATGATGTTAATTAATGGAATGTACTAGAATACCCTTGTCTCTTTTCTGTTTTGAAATTTTTTATTACCTTAATGGTTATTAAAGAGGTGTATGAATGACAATAGATAGAGATTGCTGACATACTGTATAGTTAAAGAAAGCTCACATTGGCTGCCGCTCAATACTTACAGAGTGCTTACTAGGTGTCAGATCTTCTCCTGGCTTCCTGGGCTGCAGCTGGGCAGAAGACTATCATGCCACTACTATTAAACATGCTCTCTGCTTAGTGTGAAATGCAGATGTTGACTGAGTGTTACAAATGAGTGCATCAGTGTACAGGAAAAGCATGTAACTGGTAGTAACCCATTCTGAGTGCTCACTGGGGCCCTTCAGGAGTTTTAAAGTGAGAGCTAAGGAATAAGCAAAAGTCAGCAAGCTAGTTGAAGGGAGTTAAGCAAAGGTGTGTGGGGTGGAGTGGGGTTAGAAAGGGTATATCAGGCATCAAGATGAGTAAATGCAAAGGCCTTGGGGCAGAGAAGACCACTGTCTGTTTTCATATGTAAAGACATCCAGTATGCCAGGAGGGGTGGAGGTCTTAAGAAATGTAGTGATGAACTGAAATGAAAGGGATGAAATACAGGAGGACTGTATGTAACACATTTGTATTTTCAAAAATATATGTGATATTTGAATTGGCAGGAGGTTTATATTTGGCCACTAGTTCTGAATAAAGTGAGCAAGCAAATATGCTGCTCAAAAACAAAAACATTCAACTGCATTTGTAGCGACTTAGTGTCCAGATATAGGAAACTTACTTATCTGCTGTGACTTTGTGTTTAATCATTCTGGAGAAGGCCCATTAAATATAGTTGTAGATGCCACACTGAAAGAGATGATTAAAACCGTTATTCACCCAGGAGCCTTGGAGGGTCCCTGCGTGGAACACGTTAAAGAAGCTGTGAAGGCTCAGTCTGCAGAAGAACAGAAGATCAAGCAGAGACATCAGTGCATTTTAAAATATCTGAAGAATTTTCAAGCAGATAAGGAGTAGATGTATTTTGTGTTTTTGACAATAATAGGATTCCAAGTAAAAGACTTCTTTTCCCAACACACTCCCTGCCATGAACACACTTAGGAGGAGACTAATGATCATTTCTCAAGGAGGCTGTCAATCCTTCATTGAAATAGAAATCGTACTACATGACTTTTCTATTGCCAAAAGGCTATGATTATGTGTTTCCTGTACTGTCTTTTAATTTAATTTTACTGTGTTATGCTGCCATGAGATTCAAAATGGAAGTGGCCTCCAATTAGAAATTCCAAAATTGATAATTTCTAATGATCTGCCAGGACACTGGTTGTTGTCTTGTGGAAGATGGCTTACTTATTTGTTTCAAATAGAAGTTTTTAATATGGTTATATGTGAATTACTCTTGTTGAGGACTCCAAATGTGAGGAAGACACAAGAGAATGTTAAGTGGTATTTTGTAAGTTACAGTAACAGAATCATGACACGGAAATTATCATTTCGAAACTATTTCTAACAATACATAGTGTGTGCTCTATTACCAAACTATGAAATAAAATTCCATTTTATGCAATTTTTCTCAAATGGAATCTGATAAATCTTCTCACATTACAACTTGCTTTTGTAATAGTATTCTTAAAATCTTAAATTTTTAAAGAAAAATTTAGAGTTCCACTGCCCTCTAAATAGTAATATAAAAAATTGTTTTATTCTTCATAGATTTTATCTTTAAACACCTTAAACATCATTGTTATTGGTCATATTTGGGGATAATAAACAGAGTAATCTTGTAAACAGAATTATGTGTGTGGTAGGAATCTATCTGAGCCTTAAGTTGTTGATACAGTCTGCTTGAGAGCAACTGTAAATCTCAGATGGTCACCATAGAAGGTTGTTACTGAATGTAGTTATTTAATTTTCTTTATTGGAAGAGACTGATAGCCACCAAACACAGGCCTATACTTGTGAATGACCAAATTGACTAGGTCAATTTACAGTATCCAGTAACAACGTAAGAGATTATTTCCAATCTAAACTTGGCAGCAAGCCTTTAATAAAATAATGTAACACATTGGAGATATTTCATTCATCAGAGACCATCCTCAAATCATTAAAAGATAGTTTAAAAAAATAACACCATAATTGAGAATGTCACTTAAACCTTTTGCTGTGAAACTCATAGCTCCAGAATGCAATTATATTAATCTCAACTTGGTATAGTAAGGAAAGAAGTTTGTATTAGAGGGAAAAACAAAAACAAAACTTCCCCCTCCAGGACCCCACAGAAAATAATAACAAATATGACCCAGATTCTTAAACTATTATAACCTAAATCTATTAACAAAAATAATTAAAAATACCATTTATTTACACAAGAAAATAGAATATTTTCTAGTACATAATACACAGTTTAATAAATTGCATCTTGTTTGAGCTTTTTCTTTCTGCCCCACTAAATATCATCTCAGTCTGCTTCCTAGAAAAACCCTTGTGGCAGTGTTTCTATTGTTGCTTTTTATATTTCTAGTGTTTCAGTTTTAAAAGAGCACATATGGTGTCCTTCTGCACTCAGAGGTATAGACAAATCTAGATTTCTTGATATTAATGGATCTTCTGTGCACTAGAATATTTTTATTTTTAAACCTACCAATGCTATAAAAACCATTTTCCATTTTTTATTACTCTCTAAAGATAATAGATAGTCTAATCTAAATTAGTTTTTAAAAATTCAAATCTATGGAGTTATCTAAAAATTACATTCCAAGACACTAACAAGATACACTGAAATAATAATATTTGGAGGAAAGACAGAAAATCTTTACTTTGAAGGTTCCAATTAGTTGAATCTGATGCAGCCAGATCACTGTCCAACATGTAGACCTTCTGACAGTTCTTCCCCTTTATACTGTGGTATAGTGGAAGAAAAACTAGAATATTGGTTGTTTATAAATGACCTTGCAAGTGGAGATTAGCCCATCAGTAAAGATGTATTCTATAAGACAGCCACAGTATCTACACGAATAATGATATCCTTTAAAATACAGTATTTCAGAGGATCACAGAACTGTAAGAGTATTCAAAATTTATATACATACCTACTATTGCTTCACTGAATTTTTATTGGTGCTCCATCAAGTGTCTATTTGCCATATGCATTGGCTCCTGCCACTTTGGAAAAAGGGTTAAACCAGGCTCCCAGTATTTTTAAACATGCATTAGTATAGATGTAGATTATATACATATACATGTATATAAAACCTTATTTCATTACTCATAAAAGTTATCTTATGCAGCTTGCTTCTGATAATAGAGAAATACTGGAAGATAAACATAGGGGTAATAATAACAGCATTATTCTTTTTACTGCATAAAGTTTGTTTGAAAATATATGAATATATAGTTGTAAGCCTGCATTAACATATAAAGATATTTTAGTATTAGAAATAATGATTTAACAATCTTCCTAATTAGTTTCCCTTATTCTTGCATTGCCTATTCAATGAAGAAATCCAGCTTCTTGGCTAGATCAATATTTGTAGCTTGGGGTTTCCTTTTCTTATGTTTCCTTCTCTATGAAAAGAAAATAACTTGTCAGTGGAATTTTATTAACTCTCCAAGTATCTGTGCAGAGCAAGGAAATTATTGGATCAGCTATAACACAAGCATTTGCCTTATTTGCAAAAGCCTAGCTGGCTGTTTGTGAATGATTGTTCTTACGTGGAGTATGTTGAACTAGAGTATGTTGATTCTGGCTTGGGTTTTGGTTTACTTGAATAGGCTACCAATACATGAAAGCCATTTCAGTCTAATGCCTGCCTTATTTTACTACTTTAACAAATCACAGAAATATCAATAGTTGTAACATACCAAAAACCAAAAATCAGAAAAGAACTGTACCAGGTACTTCAAGTTATTGGAATTTAAAATGTATCCTCTCTTAGTGTGAGGAAGACAACGGGGTTGGAGACTGAATAGCATACAAACAAACCACTAAAAAGTGCTCTTTTCTTTTTAGAGAACTACTCTTTTCCCCAAAACGGAAGCACATACACAGTTATACTTCTCTGAAACTATTGCTTTTAAGTTTAATCTTAATTACTCACATTAATTATAACTTTAATCAAGTAACTTCTGGAGATGGATGATGCAAGCCATCTGTTACACACCAACATTTTAGAATAACAATAATGCTCATGAATAAGTATACCAAAATTCTACAACTACACACATCCTTTATCTCAAAGTTGCAAAACTGAACCTGTTCATGAACAAGACTCCAAAATATAGCCTCTTTATAGCATATAAAATAAGGAACCAAAACATACAAACTTAAATATATGTTTAGTAATTAATATTTCATTATTCTGGCTTACATAGGAATTATATAGGCATACAATGAATATCTTTTAATTCACTCAATTTAATATCAATCCAAGGTTTTAAATTACTTTAAAAAATCTGGAAATTATCTTCAAATTGACATATTATAAAAAGTAATTTTGAAATAAAGAATGAAATAGGATAATCAGAATTATGTTTTGATTTGACTAAGCACATATTTACATTTTTTATACACATTAAGAATTAATAATAGCTTCCTTGATCAGTAAATCTAAAATAACTTGTCAGTGGAATTTTATTAACTCTCCAAGTATCTGTGCAGAGCAAGGAAATTATTGGATCAGCTATAACACAAGCATTTGCCTTATTTGCAAAAGCCTAGCTGGCTGTTTGTGAATGATTGTTCTTACGTGGAGTATGTTGAACTAGAGTATGTTGATTCTGGCTTGGGTTTTGGTTTACTTGAATAGGCTACCAATACATGAAAGCCATTTCAGTCTAATGCCTGCCTTATTTTACTACTTTAACAAATCACAGAAATATCAATAGTTGTAACATACCAAAAACCAAAAATCAGAAAAGAACTGTACCAGGTACTTCAAGTTATTGGAATTTAAAATGTATCCTCTCTTAGTGTGAGGAAGACAACGGGGTTGGAGACTGAATAGCATACAAACAAACCACTAAAAAGTGCTCTTTTCTTTTTAGAGAACTACTCTTTTCCCCAAAACGGAAGCACATACACAGTTATACTTCTCTGAAACTATTGCTTTTAAGTTTAATCTTAATTACTCACATTAATTATAACTTTAATCAAGTAACTTCTGGAGATGGATGATGCAAGCCATCTGTTACACACCAACATTTTAGAATAACAATAATGCTCATGAATAAGTATACCAAAATTCTACAACTACACACATCCTTTATCTCAAAGTTGCAAAACTGAACCTGTTCATGAACAAGACTCCAAAATATAGCCTCTTTATAGCATATAAAATAAGGAACCAAAACATACAAACTTAAATATATGTTTAGTAATTAATATTTCATTATTCTGGCTTACATAGGAATTATATAGGCATACAATGAATATCTTTTAATTCACTCAATTTAATATCAATCCAAGGTTTTAAATTACTTAAAAAAATCTGGAAATTATCTTCAAATTGACATATTATAAAAAGTAATTTTGAAATAAAGAATGAAATAGGATAATCAGAATTATGTTTTGATTTGACTAAGCACATATTTACATTTTTTATACACATTAAGAATTAATAATAGCTTCCTTGATCAGTAAATCTGTATGTGTAGGAAGAACATAACCAACTAGAATAAAAAGGCACACTTTTATCATCGTAACACTGATAAACAAGAGGAAATGGGGCTATTCATATTAAATATAAGATTTTTAGTCTTATTTTCAATGATTTACTTGAATTATCTGAGCTAAAGTCATACAGTGTTTCTGAGTTGATTACTGTAAAAATTTAATCCCAGCTATTTAAAGT